CAACTTAAGAGCAGCTGCTTCGCGAATGAATCTACCACTGGATCCGAATCGCGACCCGCTGAGAAGATCCGGCGAGAAACTCAGCGGGCTGAGAGATAATAGTCTAAGCGACTATTGATCATATAGTTTGGATAACGATAAACGGAAACTAAATTTATTATTCATTGTTCAAGCAACTACTAGTTCTTCAGGTAATCTATCGGTAGTAGCATGAATCGTAACATCCTAACTTTAATCATTAATATGAAATATGTATGTAAGTATCACTGTTCTACTTATTTCTGCCACAATGAAATCTGGCAGTGCGGCTTGAAGAATAAAACAACTGCACCGTGCCGCTCGTTATCAATGGGAATCGGTAAGCTGTGAAATCCTACTGATGGTAGGACCTCTTGTGAGTCCGCACGGGTAGGTACCACCACCCTGCCTATTTCTGCAGTGAAGCTGTAATGCGTTTCGATTTGAAGAGTGGGGCAGCCGTTGTAACTATACTGAGACCTTAGAACTTATATCTCAAGGTGGGTGGAGCATTTACGTTGTAGATGTCTATAGGCTCCAGTAACCATTTAACATCAGATGGAATCTAAGCAATAAAAAGAATGAAAAAAAGAGCTGTGATTTCGACTATTTGCGAAGGGCACTAGACAGCACTAGGCTATAAACGCATCATTCCATAGCTCTGACATGGCCCTAACATTTAATACATTAATTTTCGGATAAGCCACCCTAATCTGAAGCTACGAGTCTAAACACAATAAAACTCATTTTTATTCAGGCAGCATCGGAAATAACTATTTTTCACAATAAGCATTTCCTTCGGTTTAAGTGAACACGAGATAACCAGACCAACTCTCATTCGTGTTTCTCGAGCGCTCTGTTATGTGTTTCTTGAGGTATTTTACTTGATAAGTTTCGCTCTGACCTCGCCTTCGAAAGCTTATCTTTGTTTAGAAATATCTAGTTACCGCTCAAAGCTTTTTCTGGACACTTAATAGTTTAAAAAAATACATGAACAATTATGGGTTTTAACGATTTTGTATTAAAATTGTAAACAGCTACCATTTTATCATTATAATTTAAACATTTAATTGAACTAAATATTCATTAACTGAAAGAGAATAAACATAAACAAACTTAATTTCTACAAAAAACATTACTTTATTACCTATAGCTGTTACTTTGTACAATGCAGGAGCAAAATAGTAAATCAAGCGTATTCAAAACGCTTGAATAGAGGCTCCACAATGGACTCTACAAGTAGAGACGCTGCCCGGCCGCATGATTTATGAATGCCATAAGGTTGTGCTAAGCTTAAATCGATTTCTAATTATATGGTTGTTGAGTATTTAAATTAACTGATTACTTGAATTTGATGAATCCTAAGAATTAGAAGAGAGAAACATTTTATTATTATTTCGTAGTTGTTTTAGTTGTGAAAACAAAAAGACGTCGTCAACTATCTTTAGTCCATTCATGACTACGGTCAATTCAACCCAGATAAAACTGCAGCATCAAACCTTGAATATTTAATTGTAATAGGGGCTAAATAGGATTCGGGTTTTAATTATTAACCTTGTACTGGAATAGTGTGAGATTGGAGTAAAAAAATCTCCTATTTTGTTATTTCTGTCAAAAAATCCAATAACAAAAAGGAGAAATAGTTTACAATATGTATGCAATCCTGATCTTCTCAAACTTCGACTACTATCGCACCATCATTCCTCACTACTTTTACTAGTAGTACATAGTATTCTAATCAATTTTTACAACTTTATTCTCCTTCTAATTAATAACTATATAGATGTGACGAAACAGGCTGTGCGCTAAATCGATACATTATGTGTTCGAACTCTCTTAACACATCCCTATTTGTAGCGTTACAAGTTTGTAAATTAAAATGGGTTACTGTGAGTACTATATTAAATATATATGTATTTTCTTCTGTATTTGTTATTTATTTATTCATAACTCGCTGCCACTTTGACGCCGAGTCAAAGTCTTAACTAACGCAGAACTACGACTGTTTTTAGTTCCAATTTATTTACTGACTAGCGGCCCGTCCGGCTCCGCTCGGGTCTTTAACAAAAATTTCATAGATATTTGACGTTGTTTCATTTTTAAAAATAAAAGAACACTTACTGCGGCATAACTACAATAGTTAGACATATGCTGTCGCGACACTTTTTGTAAATAATAGTGTGTTCTACAAAGTCGTAGTACATTATTTTATTCTATCATCGCAGGACACGCGCTGTGAAGAATATGTTAGGTAATTTTTTTACACCTTGGGTTACATTATTGGAGTTTTAGTAAGGATCCCTAGTTTTTTTCGGGAATAGTCTAGATCCAAACAATGAAAGAATTTTTTAAATCGGTTCAGTAGTTTTGGAGCCTATTTAATACAAACAAAATTTTCCTCTTTATTATATTAGTATAGACTAGCTTTCTGCTCGCAGCTTCGGTCGCGTGGCCCATATTTTGAAAGTCTTACATTCTTGACCAGCGGCTTTCAAACTCTTTCTATTGCGAATTTCGTTAGTTCGTTTATGGTTTTCACGTAACAACGTAACTAATAGGTAGAGTTACTTTAGTATTGATAATATTGCTAACTATGAAGCTTCTGAGGAATAGGGCGTGAAAGAGCATGAATGTGAAAGAGGATAATAAATTGCGTAACAAGGATGTGAATACAAAGATGACTTATTGTCTATGCACACACGCTACCAACCTAACATCATACGATAAGCCTGCAACATGCGATCACGTAGCACCACTTGCAATGCACTCACTTCACTTGCTATAACCTCACGAATAGCACCTGTGTACCTGTGCATTGTAATAGCCGTTATTTAAAATGAAATCTGAAGGGAAATTATAAAACATTAATTTTTCGTACACCACTGTTTGCCTCGTCTTCCTCAAGAACACTCGATAGACCTGAATATAAAAAAATGCTACGCCAATACCACATGTAGTGTGATAAGAACAAAAAGAAGAAGACTATGTAGCTTCTAACATCTAGCAATAAAAGTTCAGCTTGTATTTAAATGGCGATAATGTTCTTTGCAACATTCAATTTAATGAACCCAATATCGTCTGAATCAGCAGGAGGTCGCGATGATATTTCGGTCACGAAAGCTATAAAATTTCTGATTCTTGTTGCTTATATGAATAATAATAACAATTCATAATTAGATTGACTCTTCACGTATATCTTCAGAGACAGTATCAAAAAAACCTGGATACATAACGGGCACTTAGATTTAATTATACCTTTTGTGATTTTTGATAGAAAATATCAGTTGAAGAGAATTAATTCACTTTTTCATAGATGACCAACGTCTTATCCCATCTGATCATCGGGCAATAGGACAATACTCATATTGATTGAGGTCTTTAAAATTGAGTAGCAATATTATATATTACGTTTCGACCCAATTTCAGAGATTTCAATAACACACAATTCAACAAAAATAATAATGATCAAGCCGCGCATTTCATAATTCAGCATTACATAATTCTTTCAAATAAGCCTTATTAAAACTGACTCTTCCAGTTTACGTTCCAAGTTTGTCCTTTCACAGGATATTGTTCAAGAAAATATTTACTTTAAGGGGCCATCTTCAAAGAACCGGATATTACGAGCGAGAGCGCTGAATCGGAAAAATTAAGAACCGAAAGAAATTATACTGGAAAAAGGACGTCAAGAAGGGAATGTAAGACGGTTCTTATTAATATGAAGAGATGAGGGAATAATAATAGCAACAGGTGGGACTTCAGATATTAATGAAAGGACGATGTTTGGGTTAAGTCTCGTGTGGTCCCACTGATGGCGGATAAAGGAGGTTTTGTTGCTATCAGAACCTTAACTGTTAGCTATGATCTAGTTCTATGGCAGTATATTAAATATTTATTGTGACGATCCGTAGTAAAATTTCTTCTTATCCTTTTTAAGCATGCTCTATTTCAAAAGAGATTAATGTGGAAAAACAAAAATAGCTCTTTGCATATCGATCCTCAGCCATCTGTTTGACTATAATCCAACAAATAGAGTCTAAAAGGCAGAAATACAGAGGTTGGTAGCATTTATTCGTGCAAGTTTACAGCAGCCTATCACCAGTAAATGCCGACTAGTGATCGCGGTACGGCGACTGAGGAATCCCATATATCTGATGATTACTGATATTAAACGTTCGCCAGAATCGAAATACGTTTTTGAATCCTGGTAATATAATAATGCTCATTGCACAATTCGCTTTCCATTAAGTTTCTTCCAGCCTCCGTATTCAAAGGGTTAAAGCAGGAGATGAAAATCCAGTCAAGCGTTCCCTCACACTCTATTTCCTTTTGGTATATTCCTCAGAACAACCCTAAAACAACACGTATATTTTCATAAGCCCATTCTACACGCATCATTTCACCGTTTCTATGCTTGAACGAATAAAGTATATAAAATATTTCTTATAACCGGGGGAGAGGTTACGTGTACGTTTACGTTACGTTCACGTTACGTGATGTTTGATAGACCGGTAGAGAATGTAAATATTGCTCTATGTGAAATATGTAATACCCTTTCGACAAAAGCTTTTGTCAAGAAATTTAAATTTAAGAAGCATTCATATAATTTATTTACTAGGTAAGGGTGTAAAAGAATATAGTCTTCGGGTTTTCTACGGGCGGCTACATGATTTAATAAAAAATGACACAGAGTACGACATGGTCGGAAATATAACTTAATCAGGAAATATTTTGGGTTCCTACCGAATAAAATTCGGAATGAGCAATCCATCTTGGTTTAACACACCTGACTGGCCACTTACAAAAAGAAAAAGCAGCCTACAGACGCTTATTGCGCTGGTCAATAAAACATGGATAGTTGTAAAAGGGCATACCCGTAAAAAATTTCAGCCAGTTCATATACTTATCTATTATCATTAAATAATTTTAATTAATTAAATAGTTTATTTTATAAAAAAGAAAATATAGAACACATTGTTCTATTATGTTATATAGGTATTATAAATATTAAGATAAATCTTACCAAGTGTGCCTATCATCTGCTGTATGTACGTACCTGAAATATAATATTAATTCAAAATTAATTTAGTTATAATAATACAGAGAAAAAAATTAAAACTTTGTGATACCTACGAATCGGTTAATTTTAAAAAAAATATCGATACAAATCTTCGTACCCACAGGATATTACTCCCACATTTCTAATCTTGAAATCGCTAAGTTATAAGTCTGACCGTCTTATAATCCTGTTAATGATTACGCTACATGGGCAAATGAGCCTAGAAAGTCTCTTATAGTCATTAGTGTCAATGCTCCTAAATAACTGGAAAAATATTAGTATCGAACAAAAGTCATGTATGACTTCAATAATGGGCTTCAAAAGTGAGCGGAATTGGGCTTGTCTTAATTACAATTTCTAGTGGCCGATAGGCATTCTTATGATACCTATATAACTTATAATATCTGCTCTGTTTCATTAGACCAGTTACAATTTAATTCGTGCTAACACTATAAATAATACTGTAATATATATGTATGTATTCACGTATTAATATATACATACATAATTTAATTAATATATCGACGCTTGAAAGGCAAACATGACTAAGCGACAATAACTGCTTTGTACATAAATGATAGGCAATAACCATATTCGATGCGCAAAAAATATATATTTCTAGGTCTATTAAAATCATTTCAATACTACAGCTACTAGCTAGATTCTACTACAGCTAGATTCGTTAAAATAAATTTTGTTTTCAGGTATTTCACTTTAAATTAGTCTACTGTAAAGTTCACGCATTGTCGCTTAGTCACGTTTGCCTTTCAAGCGTCGATATACATATTCACGTATTAATGTATGTATATATTAATACGTGAAGTAAAAACTTTGTACCCCTTTTTACAAAAATTGCGCGGACGGCGGAATATAAAATTTCCCACACTTATAGAGAAAATAAAGAAGGAGTGCAGAATGTTAATATATTTTTTTTAAATTATGCATAAAAAACACATTAAATCAATAGATTACATTACACACAATACCATGTATTTGACACATACACGCATGCATACTATTTATTTATTGTCAAACTTTTCTTATTGCTTATAGTCTGTGGTCAAATTGAAAATAGATTAAATATGGACTTTTTGGCGGGAACGCGAGGAGTGAAGTTGTGTGATTTGTTTTATTTTGTCTATTTAGTGTTTCTTCGGGTTTAAATGTGTAATAATGGTGGTTTATTAACCGTTTAATATCTGTGAAAGTGCACAAATGTGGGAAAATGAAACAAAGCCGCTGGACGTAACTTCTCCGGATCCTCCAAAAAGTCCACTGAAAAATCTTAGTAAATTACCACCATTTTACTGAGATTAGATTTCATCTCATATCATCTCATTTAATTTCATCCTAGTTGATTAATGTCTCAAATTAATCATTTTCATTTCATTTCACTCCATAACATCATTTTTCATAAAATTAAGAATATAGATTAAAATAAGACATGACTTAAAGGTCTCAGTTACCAGGTCATAAAATCTCTTAAAAAAAAAGATTAAATATGGACTTTTTGGCGGGAACGCGCGGAGTGAAGTTGTGTGATTTGTTTTATTTTGTCTATTTAGTGTTTCTTCAGGTTTAAATGTGTAATAACGGTGGTTTATTAACTCTTTAATATCTGTGAAAGTGCACAAATGTGGGAAAATGAAACAAAGCTGCTGGACGTAACTTCTCGGGTTCCTCCAAAAAGTCCACTGAAAAAATCTCAGTAAATGACCACCATTTTACTGCGATTATATTTCATCCCATATCATCTCATTTCATTAAATTTCATCCCAGTTGATTAATGTCTCAAATTAATCATCTTCATTTCATTTCACTCCATATTATCATTTTTCATAAAAGTAAGAATATAAAGTAAAATAAGACATGACTTAAAGGTCTTAGTTACCAGGTCATAAAATCTCTTTAAAAAAAAATAGATTAAATATTGGACTTTTTGGCGGGAACGCGCGGAGTGAAGTTGTGTGATTTGTTTTATTTTGTCTATTTAGTGTTTCTTCAGGTTTAAATGTGTAATAACGGTGGTTTATTAACTGTTTAATATCTGTGAAAGTGCACAAATGTGGGAAAATGAAACAAAGCTGCTGGACGTAACTTCTCGGGTTCGTCCAAAAAGTCCACTGAAAAAATCTCAGTAAATGACCACCATTTTACTGCGATTATATTTCATCCCATATCATCTCATTTCATTAAATTTCATGCCAGCTGATTAATGTTTCAAATTAATCATCTTCATTTCATTTCACTCCATATTATCATTTTTCATAAAATTAAGAATATAAAGTAGAATAAGACATGACTTAAAGGTCTCAGTTACCAGGTCATAAAATTTCTTAAAAAAAATAAAAAAGATTAAATATTGTTTGTCTTTATTAATATTTATCTAAAGTGTAGCCTTTGCGAAATATGTGAAGAAATAGTCTTTGATAGGATCATAATAGTGTACAAACTTATAATTTCAATTAATTATAGTCGAATTTCGAGTACCGGGGTACCACTAGTTTTAATATTTGAAGTCGAAATTTTAAGTCGTCGTGGCCTAAAGGATAAGACGTCCGGTGCATTCGTGTGTAGCGATGCACCGGTGTTCAAATCCCGCAGGCGGCGGCAGGCGGGTACCAATTTTTCTAATGAAATACGTACTCAACAAATGTTCACGATTGACTTCCACGGTGAAGGAATAACATCGTGTAATAAAAATCAAACCCGCAAAATTATAATTTGCGTAATCACTGGTGGTAGGACCTCTTGGGAGTCCGCACGGGTAGGTACCACCGCCCCGCCTATTTCCGCCGTGAAGCAGTAATGCGTTTCGGTTCGAAGGGTGGGGTAGCCGTTGTAACTATACTAAGACCTTAGAACTTATATCTCATGGTGGGTGGCGCATTTACGTTGTAGATGTCTATGGGCTCCAGTAACCACTTAACACCAGGTGGGCTGTGAGCTCGTCCACCCATCTAAGCAATAAAAAATAAAAATATATGTATATATTTCTTGACCACCGACTTTGAGATATGAAGCTGAGATTTCCATTGTAACAGTGTTATCCTTCAAACTGAAGTCATATGCTCACAATACGGCTTACCACCCGATGTTATTCCTACAAAATGGTAATGGTATGTGAACACGTGTCGGATGTTAACAAACACCATAAATTAGTTCCTGCCATAGAAGTAAAACCCGTTGCGTCATACATATCAAGTCACGACTTCAGATTGTATGCTTTAATAGAAAAGGCATTAGAAAAATATAAATTTAGATAATTGTATGTTATCTTAAGAATACAATTATTTATTCGCCCACGGTTTCCCTGACTTCTGGTATATATGTATATATTCATGTCATTAGACAGTACCATTCGATCTTGACCCTCATATTTTAAGCTTTGCTTTCACGTTGTGAGGTCTATCGGCTCTGGTAAACACTCAAAACCAGGTTTCTGTTCAACCAACTGTCTAAAGCATTAAAAAAAAAGTGTGTGTGTCCGCTCCGACGCACGACTGGAGTTTACTGGATATAAAAAATTAAACGAAACAATACGAGAAATAGTTCTATATTACGACAACACGATACACTACAGATTATTAACAAATTAACGAGACACAAAACAAACGACTAACAAATATATGAAAATACAATAATGAGAGAAACGCGCGATCAGTACGAGGCTTTGTGGCGGACTGCCGGCGCAGCAGCCCGGCGTCACCTGCGATAACGCGGCCGCGCGTTGGCTCCTGATTGGCGCGCGCACGCATCACGCAATCAGGAGCCAATCAGGCGCATAACGCATTTCGTGTGACATGCTAGTACGATTTTGATTGGCGCGCGCACGCATCACGCAATCAGGAGCCAATCAGGCGCATAACGCATTTCGTGTGACATGCTAGTACGATTTTGGTCCCCATAATTTTCATACCCCGGGCCTATATATGTAAATCGATTCTAAAGGAGTAAACTCCAAAAACTATATATCGATAAATTACTATATGACGACTCTATAAACTTGTTAAATAATATTCTTAATCATTTTAATTCTAAGAAATATTTCTTTGTTAATATCTATATATAAAAATGAATTGCTGTTCGTTAGTCTCGCTAAAACTCGAGAACGGCTGGACCTATTCGGCTAATTTTGGTCTTGAATTATTTGTGGAAATCCAGAGAAGGTTCAAAAGGTAGATAAATATGAAAATGCTTGGAATTATAATATAAAAATAACAATCTTATATTTCCTTTGATTTCCCCTCGTCAGACCGATTCCTTTTGTTTATTTTATGTTTATTTTATATAAAAGTGTAGGTCTTTTATTTATTGATTGAGGCACTACAAAGTCTGCCGGGTCAGCTAGTGTAAAATATTATGATCTTTTTTTCTCTACCACCCACCCTCTAATGCATTTTGGTTAATATTCGGCAAATATCTGTGTATATTTAAGATCGATGTCCGTATTACGTTTCTGTATTAATGCAATCCTGACATCGCGGGGTCATCTTTAGAATGACCGATGGGACTTCATTAGTTTTGAAATATTCTTTGCTGTTTCCGCGAGTCGTAGAACATAATTACGGATACTTTTATAGATGAATCTCGCGTTTGAATATTCATTTTAACTAATTTAATTAATATCTGACCTTTCGAATAATTTATAGATTACAGCACAGTCGTCCGTGACTCCGAATAATACTAGTATTAAATAGCAGTGTTTAAAACTAGTATATAATTCTACTACTTCATAGTTTTACTGGTCATGGAAGTCTTTATACAGTCCAACGTCTGGAACTATTAGCACAGATCTACCTATTTCTATCGTATAACAGTCACGGATCCCCATTTTATAAATAGTCCTCATTCACACCGACAATTACAATAGCAAAAAAACAGCTGTATAATAATGTATTACAACATGACTTGTGTGTGCATGGTGTATTTTAAAAGCTGTTTTTTTACTTTTAGAAAAAATGACAAAATATTAAAATTGTTCAGTCAGTCACAATACCAAAAAAAAACAGTATCTTGTATCTTGTCCGCTTAAGAAAAAAAAATGTGATTTCCCGAACATTGCATCCCGGTGATATGCCTAAAACCTTTCAGGAAATGTATAATTCATGTTAAATCCCTGGCTACCTTACCCGGGAACTAACAATGTGATCCTTTATTACAAAAAAAATTGTGTGGGGCTTTTAAAACCTTTTGTTTCTTTTTCGAGATTCAAATGTAGTAAAAAAAAAGGAATTGCGATTCGATCACGGGGTCATAAGATAACTTATAAAAAAAAATGTGTGGTGTCGTTGGGCACCGGATAGGAACAAAGTTTATTATTATAAAAATATTAATTTTAAGTTCTATTCGAGGTATAAAGAAAATAATTATTCCAGTGTACATTTTTAATTATGACTCTTTTATTGATAAAAAAAAAAAAAACTACTTTACAAAGCTATCAACTTTATTTTATTCACAATGATTTATAAAAAATATATAATAAAAATATGTTATTTTTTGTACGTTATTACAAAGTTAAGTCGTACATTGTGTGCATTACTAATTTGCACGTTATTACAAGGTTAAATGGTACACTGTGTGCATTACTACTAATAATCTTACGTTACGGACGTTTTTCCCGGTTAAGGTACCCCTCCGCATCATCCCATAAGGAACTTCGTTCTAAAAATCTTGAAATTATGTATGTGGTTCTCTTTATTATACATATATTGCAAAGAGATGCTTTGAAACGAGCGGTTCGCTGAGGTTTTCGCTGAATCGTAGCCCTTCGGAGCCGTAATGCAAGTATTTGTTGGATTGGCAACACTAAGCCGGACGAGCGGTGTTCCTCGCGAAACGAATTCAATTTGGATCATTCTTTGAAGGCGACGGTACTCAAGCTTCGCAAAAACCATCGACAACTAAAATATCATAAATTGATATCTGATATGGTGAATTAGAGTTGATCAAAACATAAAAAATACTATTTTAATTTTGATGCTTATTTCTATCTCTATTAAAACGTGCCAAAGGAAATTTATCATGACACTTGTTTGAGGAAAAGGGTATGAAAGTTTGAGAGGATGTGACTCATAGTATTATCCAGATTGAGGGCCCCTGCCCTCGGAGAAGCGAAATTGGATCGTCTTTAGCATAAAATGAAAATCGAATCGGAACTAACGGAATATCCCCGAAGAGGTCCCTTTTATAGAATTATGAAGTGAAATCTGGAGACGAAATTTTTTTTCGTAATTCTTTTACTCAGATTTGGCCCTTCGGATTTTGGGTCATGCGTTTTGTATTGTGCAGCCATTTTTGTACTAAGCCGAGAAGAGGTTTGGGGCTTCATGTTTTGACAGCGTAGTTCTGAACGCACCAACTTATAATAATAATAATAAACATTTATTCCAAACATAAATTAGGTACAAAAATAAAATAAAAAAGATAACAAAAATAACGAAGCTTGGAAACGGTTACCGGCTCAGCAATGCCTAACAGTAACGAAACAATCGGTACTGCGGCGCTGATCTTCCGCCGGCACCTGCGGAGTGACGCGCACACCAGCATCAGACCGACCAATACACAACAATGTAAAATTACATTAAAAAAAAAACAAGAATTCAAAAAAAAAGTTATGAAAAGGACAACAAAATGACATTATTAAATTAATTAAATACCATCATCCCAGCTTAGTATTACACTACCAGTATAAGTTCAGTAGCAGATTTAATTCTTATTCTCTAGAATATCTATTTAATCTTATTATTTATATTATGTATTACTAAGGTTTAATCTCGTATTTATTATTTTCATAATACTATTTCAGACATTTCGAATAATTTACATTTTTAATGGTCACGGACGACCAGAGTTTCATTCGTCGGAATTTGTGTTAGCACAATATTTAGTAACTAAACCACTATAGCAGCACCATTTTATATAAAGATCAAACCGAGTGGGGATCTCGAAATGATTTAAAGAAGATTATAATTAGGTTATGATTCAAACAATTTTTACGATTTATTATTTTCATTTTATTATTGGTGACGTTTTGAATACTTTACAGCTTACATTGTTAAGTGATATTAAAAAAAGGAATATTAAATATGATCAATTCTCACTTTTCTAACACATAGTGATATCTTACATATTTATGTACATTTTAAACTTATATAAATCAAAATGGAAGATAGTATAATAACCTAAAAGTACATATTATTATCCTCAACACGCTCCGTCAGATTATAGAAACAGTTATCAGCAACATGCCTTGTCCAAAAGTACAACACGTACTTTCAACTACGAAGCGTTGTCCTAACGTATAAATTGAAAAAAATTATGTACATAGTCTTGTTCCTTATCCCCTCTATTCTTTACTCTTACTACGATATGCTGGAAATGATATTAAACTAATACTAGAAATTCATTTAAGTCATGAAGGAGCTGTTTAAAATGCCTGAAACACTCGAATACATTTGTTGATACTTATAGCTTATTAAATATATTTACGAAATACTGATGATTTCCAATTATCAAGATTATTTAGAAGAATTTCGAGAAGGAGAATCCTACATTGGGCTCCCACGAAGATCTGTAAAAAGGCGTATCGAACTTCTTGAAGCCGGCGTTGAAGTCGAGCGAGCTGGACGGAGATTGGAACAGGTTCAGCTTACCGCCGGCCGAGTAGTCATTCCGGTTGATGACGTCAGAGTGCGCCGCGCTCAGCGATGCGCCCACCTTCTGTCTGCAACACGACCTCGAGTCAGTACCTCGCCTACTGCCGCTGTCACCTCAGTGCTCACGGACGAGCAGGGATACTCACTTGAACATGTAGTCCAGTCCGCCGCCCAGCGTGTTGAAGTTGGGCGCATTGGGGATGGCGCTGGGCGAGTTCCTGATCGCGAACGCCTTGGCGCTCAGGTCGTGGTTGTTATTGTGGAACAAGTTGACCTTGCCTGCGACGCCGAGCTGCTCCCCGAAGCCGGGAATGCGGGTCCCGGTCAGGCTCAGCCCGTGCCCGTTTCTGCAACATGGACAAACGAACATGAAGCCACCAGCCCGGAGCACAATGAGCAGTATATTGTATATTAGCCGCCGCTAGGTAGGTACTCACACGTTGTCCAGAGCGAGCCCTGCGGAGGCGGCGCTGAGCTTGTGGCGGTCGTTGAAGTCGGCGGACCCGATGGCGCTGAGTACGTTCTTGTCGTTGCCGGTGAGAGGGACCTTCAGGGCGGCCCCGGAGGTTCCATCCGAGTTCACTGTGAAGCTGCCGGCTTGTCTCCGCGCACGTGTCGGCACGTGTCTACCGCTCGCCAAGCACGCGCACAACAACAACAACGCTACACTCTTGGACATCTTGATCTGTGTCGTATTACTTGTCTGTTGACTGCTCAACGTGCAGATGAGGAATGACACAGCATCAGTCTCAATCCAATATATGTTCTCAAAAAAAGGAGTCAAAGGAATCCCCTTGATAAAATTTAATAATTCTTTATTACTTATGATACTCGGTAAAGTACCTCAATAAAATTGCGAATGTGTCAAAGGTTATCGCGGATGATGATAAGTAGTAATTAGACGCACTGCTTCACGCGCTGTTTTTAAGATGATATTATCACGAAATATAAGGGTCATCTAATCGTAAGTGGCTACTGTCGCTAATGGACATCAACAATACTGAACACACAGTCAACCCACTGTATATTGTTAAAGACTCACTTTACTAATTTATCTAAGGAAATATGTATGCAGTCAACACGTATTCGTATACAGTTGTATCACTACGACAAAGATAACTTCATATTTGCTGTTTTACTGGTGGTAGGACCTCTTGTGAATCCGCACGGGTAGGTACCACCACCCCGCTTATTTCTGCCGTGAAGCAGTAATGCGTTTCGGTTTGAAGGGTGGGGCAGCCGTTGTAACTATACTGAGATCTTAGAACTTATATCTCAAGGTGTGTGGCGCATTTACGTTGTAGATGTCTATGGGCTTTAGTAACCACTTAACACCAGGTGGGCTGTGAGCTCGTCCACGCGTCTAAGCAATAAATAAAAAATTGCAATAATAATCAAATATACGATATGGGCAAATATGGGCACATGTATCCTGCGTCTCGTGGAGAGTGGTGGCTTTGTGACCGTGATACATGTGGGATTCGGCAGTTACTAGTGGGCCTGATCGACCCGTCTAGTACTATAAATAACTATAAATATACCTTTACTACTGTCGTAAAGATATGTTAGTTGCCTAGTGAGCACATTATCTGATGTTAAGTAATCTCTAGTACAGATATACATACTTTTTTATTTATTGCTTAGTTGGGTGGACGAGCTCACAGCCCACCTGGTGTTAAGTAGTTACTGGAGCCCATAGACATCCACAACGCAAATGCGCCATCCACCCTGAGATACAAGTTCTAAGGTCTCAAGTATAGTTAGAACGGCTGCCCCACCCTTCAAACCGAAACGTATTAATGCTTCACGGCCGAAATAGGCAGGGTGGTGGTACTCACCCGCGCGGACTCACAAGAGGTCCTACCACTAGTAAAAATGTAAGAGGTGTAAATTCTGACGCTGGCCATGAGGCCATATGAAATAAAATTGCTGGTCGTCTTTTAAATCCACACGGATAGGTACCATCACGCTGCCTATTTCTGCTGTAGAGCAGTAATACGCTTCAGTTTGTACTGTAAAAACTGAAATCTTGAAACTCATGTCTCAAGGTGGGGTAGAGTACATGGGTTGCGGTGGCTACTTAAAACCAGGTGGGACGTAAGCTCGTCTACTCAAATGAGCTATAAGAAATAGATAATTGAATGAGCACTTTTTAATAGACTCTAATTAATTTTGTGTTAAAAAAAAATTTATACTCATTGTATGCGGCAATTAACTTTTATTATATGATATGCTATTCACCTTTTATGTTTATATACTTTTTGTGTTTTTTCTAAAGATAAAACCCCATTTTTAAAGAATCTTCCTGATCCCTTAAAAATCCTGTATACCGTAGCGACTACCGCGCCTATCATCTTCAAATTTATGGCCACTGAGATGGTCCTTTAAGCGCGGAAATAGGTCCGTTGAATATGGCGCCTGGCATTAATATGAAGAATCCAGCTTCGTGAATGGTAGCCATTGAAACTCCGGATTTGTGCTCGGAGGCGTTATCTTGGCGAAACAAAACAACTTTAGCGAGTTTGCCCCGCCGTTGTTAGCGTATGTGCTCACAAAACTTTGTTGTTTGTCCAGTGTAAGCAGTCCCCGTAATAGTGGCTCCATGTATTCGATCATTACCACACCTTGGCTGTCCCAGAAAAAACAGCCCGTGATCTTACCGGCGGATGGAATCGTTTTGAATTTCTTTCGGAGATGACGATCTCTTTCAAGTCGTGGACTGTTTTTTCGAATCCGGGTCATAACGGTGAAGCCATGTTTTGTCCACAGCTATGTATTGAGTTGGACCCGAAAATCGGTCAAGATCTTATTGTGACAAACATAAGCAGTTTTGTGAAATTCTCAGTGCGGTTTGTTTCAGCGCGTCAGAAACCATTTTGCGCACACAGCACGTTGACACTATTTTCTTATCCAAATGGTTGTGTATAATATTATGGACACTTCCTGTAGAAATTTTCATTTCTTCTGCTGTAAAACAAACAGTAGTACGACGATCCGCTTAAGCAATGCTTTCAACTCTTTAATCTGTTGTTCAGTCACTACCGATGTAGGGCGTCCCATGTGGTGGACCCATTTACTGGTGGTAGGACCTCTTGGGAGTCCGCACGGGTAGGTACCACCACCCCACCTATTTCCGCCATGAAGCAGTAATGCGTTTCGGTTCGAAGGGTGGGGTAGCCGTTGTAACTGTACTGAGACCTTACAACTTATATCTCGAGATGGGTGGCGCATTTACGTTGTAGATGTCTATGGGCTCCAGTAACCACTTAACACCAGGTGGGCTGTGAGCTCGTCCTTCAATCAAAGCAATAAAAAAAAAAGTGGAGTTCGTCGTTAATGGAAGTTCTTCCTCGCTTGAACTCAGCACACCAACCTCTAATCGCAAAATATGGCGGAGCATGAACCCCTAGTGTTGCTCTCAATTCTTGATTTACCAGCTCCGTAGTAAAAATTTTCAAGCAGAGTTATTTTATTACCGTGCGAATATCAATTTTATCCATTTTTAAGTAGACGTTTCGACACGTTGCGTCGCTACCAAATGACTTTTATTTAAAAAAAACAAAAGAGGATATTGAATAAAATCGCTATGTTATTATTATTATTATTCTAATGACTAGGCTACATATGTTCGCCAGTATCTAGTTTTTCTTTCCAGCAACAATGTATTGCATTATCACTATTTATTGAACATCCCTTGTAGGTAAAATGTTTGCTAGGAAAAATTAACCATGTGTATGTACCTGTATACATCGAGAATTGTGATGAGATAATAATGTATGGAGGTTTTCTATCCCAGTACCAGGACTGTCCAAGGCGATATCTTAGCGCCTTGTGCGTTATCAATTTAACTAAAAATCTGTTATGATGTCTAGGCCGTTCTGATCATCGTAGCCTGACGGATAAGACGCCTGATGCACTTCTATTGAGCAATGTGACCATGCCAGTGTTCCAACACTGCAGGTAAATACTGTTCTGTTGAAATACGTACTTAGCAAATGGTCACGAATGACCTTCACTCTGAAGGAATAACATCGTGTAATTAAAATCAAACCTACAAAAATTTTAACTTTCATCATTATTGTACTATTGAGATATAGACCTCAAATCCCGAAGTGGGTGGCAGCATTCACGCCTGATGTCTATGGGCTGCGATAACCACTCAACACTGGGTGGGCCGTAAGACTAATCTTATTTTATCAAAGAGCGCGTGGTGCTGCTAGACCGTAAATGTGTCATAAGCTCTGAGAGTGAGTTCGTGCCAAGTACAACGACCGTCACAAGTGATTCCCCGAGCGCGGCGCGTGCCGTCGATATTAGGGGGAATAATTCTTATCATCACATTTAATTCGGTTCAATTGGTTCAGTCTCTAAGATTCTTATAAAAGCGAAAACATTTGGTTTCCCAACATCATTCCTCATCTGCACGTAGAGCAGTCAACAGACAAGTAATACGACACAGGTCAAGATGTCCAAGAGTGTAGCGTTGTTGTTGTTGTGCGCGTGCTTGGCGAGCGGTAGACACGTGCCGACACGTGCGCGGAGACAAGCCGGCAGCTTCACAGTGAACTCGGACGGAACCTCCGGGGCCGCCCTGAAGGTCCCTCTCACCGGCAACGACAAGAACGTGCTCAGCGCCATCGGGTCCGCCGACTTCAACGACCGCCACAAGCTCAGCGCCGCCTCTGCAGGGCTCGCTCTGGACAACGTGTGAGTACCTACCTAGGGGCGGCTAGTATACAATATACTGCTCATTGTGCTCCGGGCTAGTGGCTTCATGTTCGTTTGTCCATGTTGCAGAAACGGGCACGGGCTGAGCCTGACCGGGACCCGCATTCCCGGCTTCGGGGAGCAGCTCGGCGTCGCAGGCAAGGTCAACTTGTTCCACAACAACAACCACGACCTGAGCGCCAAGGCCTTCGCGATCAGGAACTCGCCTAGCGCCATCCCCAACGCGCCCAACTTCAACACGCTGGGCGGCGGACTGGACTACATGTTCAAGTGAGTATCCCTGCTCCTCCGTGAGCACTGAGGTGACAGCGGCAGTGCGTGAGGTACTGACTCGAGGTCGTGTTGCAGACAGAAGGTGGGCGCATCGCTGAGCGCGGCGCACTCTGACGTCATCAACAGGAATGACTACTCGGCCGGCGGTAAGCTGAACCTGTTCCGATCGCCATCCAGCTCGCTCGACTTCAACGCCGGCTTCAAGAAGTTTGATACGCCTTTTTACAGATCTTCGTGGGAGCCCAATGTGGGTTTCTCCTTCTCGAAATTCTTCTAAAAAGTATTATGCGAAAGCAGTAAAATAATAAATTCCCTTTCAATATTCTAACATAAGGATTTAATTATAGTTTAGATATTATAGGTATAATGTTGCGCACAAATAATACTCACTGTCAGTACAGCCTTATCAAATAAAGAACCAATTAAAAATTAGACTGTGTTTCCATGTTCATATAACTATATACATTGAACTTGTCATTCAATTAATTATCACGCAAATTCACAGAACATAACCGGGATTTTCTGTATCTTGCTGAATCTGCAGCTGCAACTTGACGTAATTTTTATTAACTAGTGGTGGCCCGGTAGTCGAAATTCGACTATAATTAATTGAAACTATAAGTTTGTACACTATTATGATTCTATTTTCAAAGACTTATACTTTTATAATCACAAATTTCACCAAGACTACACTATAGAAAAATATTAAT